TAATCCTGATAAACAATTTGAGCTATTCTCCTGCTGTCAGATTGAGTTTAGAGATTTTTAAGGAACCAATTTTGGAAACAAGTCACTGCTTATTGTGTATAAACTCTTGGTGGAGCCCACGGTGGTTCAAGTAAAATGATAAGCTCACTCACCATAGGGTTTTCAGGGACAGAAATTGTTCCTTTCCACAAGCCTGGCCACAGCATGAGGTATGAGATGGCTGACTATCCCTGTAGGGGATCCCTGTCACTGCTAGAAAATCACTCTCAGGGAAGAGCCAGGCAGCCAAAACACCAAGTTCAGATCACTCTGGCACAGCCTTGGATAACCGTGCTGTTTCAGGTCAGCTGTGTATTCATAGCTGACAAGTCAATTATTTTTAATCTCTACTACAGTTTAAAGTCCTAAGAGTTTTTTAGGGATCTGTGAAGATTAGCAGTGCTGTTCTGGAAGCCAATAATGCCCTCCTACAGCTCCAGGGCTGGAGTATTAATGGCCCTTGTATAATGTGGCAGTCCCGCCCTGCCCAGCTTTGTCCCCGGGGACACACATCTGTGTCCTCACCAAATAATGGTGAGCAGCCTCCAGTAAAGGTTCAACTGACAGCCTGAAGCAAAAATCTCTCATAAAAGGACGAAATTAAATTCCTTTTTCCTCAGGATATCCAGTAGCTAATGAAAAACTGAATGGGCTCTGAGCCTTAGGCACTCACAAATGATAGTGCCCTGAGGACCAATTTCATACCATCAGCAAGCTCTACCTGCATTTTTGGAGCCTCTTTCTCTCTTTGTTGTGTGAATCAATCTGTTGCAAGAGGCTTAAAAAATCACTCATCAACAAAAGCAAAACAAGTTACAAAAGCACAGTATCAAAGGGCACAAACACAGGCATGACCCGAAAGTGTCCTTAAACTTCTAGTTCAGACAGTCAAGCTGTTAAAAGACTAAAAATAGATCTACACCTTTATTAAGCCTACTATGTATAGAAATACTGGAGACATTGAGGCATGTAAAAGAAGTTCTGAACCCATTCTTTTGGTATGTCTCCAGCCCACTTCTCAGAACCACATGAGGAGAGTTCTGTTCCTCTATTTTACACACACGCAGAAGGGTAAAATGGGTAAAAAATGGGTAAAAAAGGTAAAATGACTCCACGTGCCCCTTCCTGCTCATTTGTTCATTTGGGCAGGGGAGGGTGCAGGACTGCACCATCCCTACAGGTGCCCCAGGCAATGTGCTGCAGGCAAGGAAGGCAGAGCCAGCACAATGCAGACATGGAAAAGAAACCTTCACACACCCAAATTTGTCTTGTATCCTAACATGATGAATAAGCGGGTTTCACCAGTATTAATTCCATTTAATAAAAATATTACAAATATTTGACAATTACAGAGTTAAACACCAAAAGTAAATAATTTGTAACTTCCACCACTGGTAGTCAGCTCTGCTTATTATGATGTTGGGCATTATTTAAAAAATTATTTTATTATTCTTACAGTAGCTGTTTGTTTGTAAATTAATGACTTCCTAACAGGCAACAGATACATTGCTGTGCATGCTGCAGAGAGGTATTTTACAGAGCCCAGAGACACATAAGGACCTACCTAGATACTTGTACTGAGATTGATTATAGAACAGCAGATGGGTAAATCAGCGCAGCAGTACTCTTTTAATAACATCATAACACATTTATCGCATTATTTGTTGTACTCACAGAACCACAGGATGATCTTCTTAGGTTACTGTTATTATGTTTTTCACTGTTTAATGTAGTATTTTGAGATGCTACTGTAAAAAGTGCAATATTTCTCTTTATCTCAGAAAGATCTGTATATGTGCAACAAGATCACTGTAGCCTTCTTTATCCCATAAATGTCTTTTTTTTAACCTACAATGTATGTTTTTTGGTGTAGAAAGGAAAACATTATATTTCTCATCAATACTTTTATGAAATGCTTCTGGTTGCACATCAAGTAGACAAACATGTCTAAGTCTTCTCAGTATTTTTGTTCCTGAGAAATAGAAAAGGACTGCTCGCTACCATGTCACCAGTAGTGTTCCCATAACTGCAGAAAGTGGCAAGGGCTTTCCTGACAACTACAGTTTCTCCCACGTGTTTTTCAGAGATGGGAGTTTTTTCATCCTGGCCTTCAGTTCCTTCCTATTTGGGACAGGCCATATAATCTACCAGATGAGAATTACATGCCCAAACACATTAGACTGGTTATTACACTATCCAGATTCCTGATGTTTTGTCAGAGCAACAACAGTGACACCAAGATGCAGAAAGAAAGCAAACAAAATTATATTTTCCAAAATCCCAAGTGAAATGTAAGGGAGTAAGAAGAAAATTAATCTGCTCATGGATATACAGCAATCCTTAAATTAATCTGTAGTTGCAATAAGCAGTATGAAATGCAATAAAAAAGCAGCAATGTAAAATGCATTTAACCACATTCTTATAGATATATCAAATCAGATGATGGAAATGCAATCAGCAAAATATATTTTGACCTCCAGTAAAATACTTTATGAGATCCTTCTTGAAATAATACTTGCAAAATAGAAATTAAAGCCACTGTGCCAAAAAGAAGATTAAGTTTGTAGTGCGTGATGTGACATTCTTGTTTAAGCATCTGCTTTTAACACTGGGCCTAATTTTGTTTGAAAATTATATGCAGTTACTGTCAAATTTTATTTAATCTTAAACAGTGGTTGAATGGTGTCTTTGCTGCATTTGCTTGTGATTGGAATTACAGTAAAACAAGCAACTACTAGAGATCCTGCAGAGGGTCTGTGAGGCAATGGTCAGTGTGCACGGCTTATGCACACACCATTTCTGCATGAAGGCTGAATCCAGTGTGTTTGAATACATTGGATTTATCTCTTAGGTGCCACTTTGCTGATCAGCCTTGCACAGAAATTGAAACAAGCACTACAAGGGTCTCCCAGGAGCTCTGACCCTGATCAGTATCGTGAGGGCACAAATGTGAGGAATCTAAGAGGAGAATGAAGAAAAGAAAAAAAATAGAAGATGGACTCCTATTTCAAAAAATGTATCCAATCTTTGAGAACCTACATTCACTTCCACAATCAATTGTGAAGATGTGTGGGGATGCTGTTAGGAAAATTAATCCACAAACATTAGAGGTTTATGTCCAAAAAGGACACAGAGGAATCCTTTTACTTTATTCAAATAAAGGGAGAGGCCATGGGGCATTCCCCTGGGGTCTCTCAAATTTTTGGAGGATGCAGCCTCACTTTTTATCCTAATATCCAGCCGCATTTCCCTTTTCTCTTTCCCATTGGCTGAGGTACTTGAGAGGCTCAGACTTCCCAAAACACCTGATACCAAAGATTTCTCGCTAACGTATAACCCTCCCTTTTAATTTTTAATTCTTATGGAATTTAGGGGTTTTTCTTCCTCATTGTTTCTTTCATCTTTCAATGTCCAATTTAATTTATCACCAACCCTAAAGTTTATTTGTAAAAGAAAATATCTTTTTCCATTCTTCAATCAGTGGAATCCTTCCCACTGTTTCTTTTATCTCCCAGTGCTAGTTTTACCTACCAGCAGGCCCACAGCTTGTTTGTAAAGACAAATCTGCCATTCCTCTCAATGCTTTAGGCATTTTGATTTGTTTTCAATGGAAGGTTGATCAGAAGAGCTCTCAATTTTAGTATATTCTAGCCCTTATAAATTCCTGTTTGTTGTCATTCTTTGCATGCTCACATGTTCAGTTCCTTGTCACAAAAATATACTGATAGGAGGTCTTCAGAAGACATGTAAGGTGTGGCACTTAGGGACACAGTATGTGATGTACTTGGTATCTGTGCATTAACTGTTGGACCTAGTGACCTTGAGGGTCTTCTCCAACCTAAATTACTTTAGGATTCTGGTTTTGGCAATGAGTTGCAGTGCATCTTTACCAATCTTCTTTTCCTGTAGTACAATATTGAGGGACTGATTAATGCCTGTAAACCTCAACTGGCAAGATGTCTGTTGATATATGGCAATAAAACTAAGTAACATGCTAAACCTACTGAATACTCATCCAACCTTCTCTTTTCAGTCAAAGGCCATCTGAAACTGACAAGTCTTTCCAAGGTTTTCTGAGCAATTGGATTCTGACCAATTGGATTTTGATCACAAGACTAAATTTACCAGTTCTTATTTCTTTTTGTATGCACATGAGAAACAGTTGGAGCAAGTAGGATCCAAATTCAGCGACTGCTTCTTCCATCCTAACCACATCTAAACACATTCTGTGTCTACAGAAACAGAAGAACCTCACTATGGAGGCTTGTCCTTGACAGGCTTCTATCAGAAGCTTGAGCAAAGCAGTAAGAAAATTATTCTGAAGTCCATCTGAAATGCTGTCTCCCTATGAATATCCCCAATTCTCAATATTTAGGGTTTGGTTTATGCCTTGAAGGCTTTGTAAAATGTTTATCAGAGCGACTTGATTTTTATTTGGATAAACCACAGTACTTAGGGTTCATGCCAGAGTATTGGTTACAATTTTAAAACACTTATTACATGATCCCTGAGATGAACAGCACCTGGAACAGCACTGGAAATCATACATAGTTCTGCAGTATAGATGTAAACAACTCCACTCTAGATATCTCATTAGTACCAAACCAGATATCCCAAACTCCTCTTTTCCACATGTCAGACTGTCACAAAACTGTTTATTTTCCTTTTAAAAACTGTCAATAACAATTGCTCAGAACAGATTTGCCCCTCACCTCCACAACACCCGGATTTCAGGGGAGAACAAAACTGTCCTTCCTATAATACCTCTTCCTATAGCTCTTACAGTTGAGCGCATCCTTTTATTCTTTTTTCATACCACAGAAAATTTCTATATTAAGATGCTTCATAAATCAATGTGTATTGTAGGGACTTTGATGACCTGTTCCTGTACAATTGCCAGAAAGAACAGAAAACCAGTGTTATTAAATAGATGTGGTTTTTTCTCTCCCTCTCTCTCTTAGGACGGATTTATAGACTTCTTGGAGTTCATAGCTGCAATAAATTTGGTTATACGAGGAAAAATTGACCAAAAATTGAAATGGTATTTCAAGCTATATGATGCTGATGGAAATGGATGCATTGACAAAAAAGAGCTATTAAGCATATTCAGGGTAAGTAAGTTATGACCAATAGCAAGAGCATTTGATATAGTGCGTTGCCCTGAAACAGTGGTTCATCATGTGCTGTAAATGGATTGTCAGTACTTTATCTAATGTTTTATGGTTGTAAAACCAGAATTAACAGTGGCTACTAGTGATACTCCTGCCATTAGTTTCTTCCTTATTGAACATGTCTAAGTAACATTTTACTTTAAACCATAGTTCTACAGATAAAGTACTTTACTGAAAGTGAAATGTTGTAGAAACAGTAGAGACAGTACTGTGATAAACTGTACTATAAGGCAGGGCAAGACAGTAGCAGCATAATGAACAAAACAGATGGCTAAAAGTACATGTGCCAGTCTATTGTGGAAAACTGGCTTCTCAAACTGATCTTGCAGCAAGAAAAAAAAATATCAATAAAATATTACAATATTTTAATTTTTTTAAAGGCTTTTAAATTTTTTTACTACAAACACCATTACCTCCACTTCAAAACTAAATCATGGAAATATAATTTTACTATTAAATCGCGCAGTGATATTTGGATAAAAATACTTCCAAAATTTTCCAGAAAATGGGTCCACTTCAAACCCATAAAACCAAAGAAGTACAATTCTTTCTTTAAAATTATCTTCATAGTTTTCAACTTGCTCTAATGAAATAACATTATCCTCTTCAGTAGCTGCTGTCATCCAAAAGTTATGTTAAGGCTTCTTACAAATATATATGGCTCAATACTGTGCCCTAAATATACAGGACTCACTACAGATCAAAGTGTTGCTGCAGGGAGCATCGAACCTAAATAAAGTTTTAATGCCATAACAAACAAGGAATGTACTTTTCCTGGATTCTGCATTACTGCTGGTGCCAAGCCAGTCGCTGTTAGAGACTTTAAATAGCTGCTGCCAAAACTGAAAGGAGCTGGAGCCAGATGGAGCTACCAGGTCAAACAAATAAAGCTGATCACCTAAAGAGCAGCTTTCTAAAGATAGAAGTAGAGGCTGAATCTTCCAGATTTCTCCTTTGAGACTAATGAAATCTGTCTTTCACAAATATTCTCCAATAATTTTCACCCAGAGCCAATAAGTCAACAGTGTTTTGTCTGGGGCTTTATCCAAAGTGAGAATTAAAATTAAAATCCTTCCAATGTAAAGAAGATTTATTTTTTAACTTACCTGATTTTAAAACCAGTTTATACCTTTGTGTGTTTCCATCTCTTTTGCAGTATAAGAACTTTAAGTTAAACCTGCTTAAATCATTGACCTAGACTAGATTAAAAATGGTGGGCCCAAAAAGAAAGAAGAACAAACAGGCTCACAGCCATTAAGGGGTGACCAGCTTATAATAAGCATCAGTAAACAAGGGCTTGTCCAAAAAGATGTGTAATGTCTGAGACATTAATTTAGAAATACAGAAGTGCTATTAAAATGAAATCTCTCTCTACAGCTGTGCAAACTATGGACCAACATACCACTGCCAAACTCCTTCCAGATAACCATGCACCCTTTCCATGCCCAGTATTTACTATTTAAGGGGCTTCTGTGGTAGTCAGTGACACAAACACTTCAAGAACCACTGATTTACTCTTGGCACTGCAATAAATTTAACTGTGGAAGGGATATAACTTTCTACTTAAAACTGCGGGTCAGACATACAAAACACCAAAAGTACCTAAAGTATGAATTAGTAATAGAAACAAGTTTATGTAACTATTTTTGTAAAATTATTGCTGCTTTTTGAAATAGACAGGAAGTTGGGGCATTTGGAGGGGGCATTTTAATGATTTTATTTGGTCAAGAATTCTAGATCAGTGAATAGATTAATAGATTGTTTTAAAATATGAGGTCTAATATAATATTTGGAAAGAGACACCAAAAGAAGCAAGTGGCACATACAGTGACTTATCTTACACAACACAGTTCACCTCAAGATAATTCAAGTGCAGAAAAAAAAATTCTATAGTGTGCCCATTATATAATGCATATGCATGTTTATATATATGCATATATTTTCCCAGTCAATGGGACACAATTTTGCGAAAACATACATTTATATCTTTACTCCAAATATTGAGTCCTTTTGCCACAAAAAAACCCCCAAAAAACCAAACCAAACCAAAACAAAAAAACCCACCAAACCAAACAAACAAACAAACAAAAGTAAAAAAGTAGAGGAGTTTCTTTTGGTTTTCTTAATTTCTCTGGAGGACAAGTTAACTGCCAACTTCAGGATGGCCAGTCTGACTTTATTGGTGATTACTAAATTAAACACGTCTTAATAGAAATATTACTTAGGCTTTCTCTGCATGTGCTTTCAGATCGGAAAAACAATACTGCATTTAAATCACACAGACCAAAGGGCACTCTCTGAAGGCATGGAACTCTCTAGGGCCAGATAAAAATGCTGATGTAGAATCGAAAGTTAATTACAGAGGAGAGGTGCCACAGGGTTCTTCAGACCTTCAGAAATATGCAAATTAGTGTGTAATCTCTAGGCTGTGTTATGTTAATTAAATTTCCAGTCCTTATTACTGACGATTTACTTGAAGTAACTATTTATTTAGTGATTTTTGAAAGGGTTTGTGAACTAAAGAGTTGCACTTCAAGTACTGCTTCTGACAGTGTATTGTATCACAACTTGATGGGAAAAACTCTGAAAGAACTTTCTGTGTTTCTGCCCTCAGGCAATCCAGGCTATTAATGGCTACACCAACATGAGTGCTGAAGAGTTCACAAACATGATATTTCAGAAGATAGATGTGAACAATGACGGTAAGAATCTAGGTTTTGTTGGCATTGGCAGGGACTCTTCTGCAAGAAGGGATTTGAACATGCAGCTGAAGGATGACTGGTTTAGATAACTGAAAGCCCAAATCTGCTCTTCTTTGCCCTTATTTTACTTCAATTTCACAGTGAAGTCAACTGACAAAGGAATTACATGCAGTAATTACATGCAGTAAAAACAGCTCCTGCACTGTTCATCCAAAATGCTGGTTCTCAGGTTGCATAGCAAATGAAAATGTAATTGGCAGTGGGGGAGTAATATATTTGTGTTGGCATAATCTATTTTAAATTCTTAAAAAAAAACCAAATAGGATGAATGGTTTTACATGTTCTAGCATGTTCTAAAGACTGGTGAGCATATTGGATGTTCCTTGAAGGCTGACTGTCAATGCATGCTAAGATACATGCTCCTGGTTTTTCCTCAAGATACTAAATTAAGCCAATTGGTCTTGCATTTGGAAACCATGATTTCATTTCACTGCTTCAGAGTTGTTTCTAATTGAAAATTTATTACAGATTAATGTCCTCCCTCATACTTCTAATCATGAAGATAATCCTTCCACTGGCAACTATGTTTTACAGCAATTGCTGCAATCATTGGTAAATTTGGAACATTAGGAAAGCTAAAAAGAGCAAAGTCAGGTCACAGACAGGAATTTGAGGCAGTTTGGCAGAGAGGGGCATTTTTATGGTCTTATTTAGTGTATTGAAGTTACTCATTTTTAAAGAGTTGTTTGAAATATATAATCAGAGTATAAACAGTGGTCTTGTGATGCACGTGGAGGATGCCTTAGTGGAGGATTTTTTGACCCACCTCCTTGGCCCACTCTTTGGTGAAGACAAATTTTGAAAGAAGTGCAAATAACACAGTCAAAATCTAACCCAAATTATATGATTATTCACTGCTTTGACCATACATTCACTGGCAAGCAATAGTTGTATCTGAGCTAGACCATCATTAGTGTCATACATTTTAGCAAGGAAAATCCAAAGCATAACATACTGAGGATTATCTTCATAGTGGTTCCGTTTCAAACAGTTTTCCATAGTTCTTAGTTTTTAAATTGCTGGAAAGCAACAGGTCTAGCTTCACCTGAGGAATAGGCCAAGTTTTACCAAATTTAGCTTCAACTATGCTACCTCCTGTAGCTTATTAAAAAAAAGTGCAAATAGACAAATAAATTGCAAAGTCCTTCCTTACATTAATATACAATAAATAATCCCATGGGTTGTAAGGAACAACTCTTAAAACACATCTCCAGTTGGTTTTGCAATTTATTTTCATTATCTCACAGAAATCTGAGGCCCATCACAGCAGAAGTGAGTCTGGGCCTGCCAGCATAACCTCATCTGGCAACGGCAGTGTGGTCTGTATGCCTGCTATTGGCACATCAAAATGCACAGCTTGGGATCAGGAGGAGGGAATCCAAGACAAACTGCCCTGAATAAGCAGGAAAATGGAGCAGCATGTCTATGTGATGAGTCCAGGAACCCCATGCACCCAAAGACCTGAGTCAAAGGCAATACAGAGTGAAGGAGAGGGGAACTAAGAGCAGTGTCTGGGATAGGAGGAGAGTTCAGAGGAAGCGAGTGGATTAGTGACAAAGCAGGATGGTGCATGCAAGTGTACAGAGATGGCTTGTTCTGAGTCTGCTTGTGGAATGATTATATAGGCTGTTGTTGAAAAAAGAAGAACAAACTTCCTCAGGGCTCTGCATGCCAGCTCTTGGAGAGGGTCTTAGTACTTTCATTGAAGCCTAAGAACCAGGACTTCTGTCAAATGAGGACCTTCCTCTTTATATGAGCCTTTCACCAGTGTAGCAAGGACATATGTGACTAAACAGAAAGCAAACTTTACTGACTATTGCTAGAAAGTGTTTTTCACATTTTTTAAATGCTGATAGTTTTCCTTTTTCATGTCAGATGATGTTTCCAAGGCTGCCATGGACAAAAAACAAGACATAAAAAACCAAAAAAACCAAACAAACAAACAAAACACAAACAAAACAAAACAAAAACCAAACCAACCAACAAAAAAAAAAACAAACAAAAACCCTCCAAACCTACAGAGACTACTTAAACATGAAAACAGCCAAAAGTCAGCACACTAAGCATTCACCAGACATACACATGACTAAAACTGCTGCTCCCTGGGGCCTTAACTCATCCAGCTATTTTCCTCTTCGCCTGGCCCTTGTCATTTCTAATTTTACAGAGAAATCATTCATTGTTGTGAATTTAACAAGAAACTTTAAACCATTCTCAGAGGAAACAATCTGGCTCTTCTTGTTAAACCAAGATTTATTTCTCCTCTTAAGGTAAAACAGTATCACTGGAATAACCTCTAGACAGAGAACTATGGACATGTCTGTGTACTATGCAAATAGACAGATGCCTAGAACTGTTGTTGACTGGGAAAAGAGCAGTAAAAGAGGAGGAATATTAAACAATATCCCTACTCTTCAATAAAAGAGATTTTATTGTTGTCTTGAAACTTCGAAGTTATAAGCTGATTTTGACATGACCCCAAAAAAATCACACTCTAAATGGCCATTTCAGTTCCTTGGAAGAATTTATATATCAAACCACTTTGCTGATTTTTTTTCCCTACATCTCATAATGATTCTAAATAATCCTAGTAGTCAACACGGGGACTATGACCACTAATCCTTAGCAAATCACACCCTAATCTCTTTTAAAATCAGCTCTAATATAAATTCCAGTTAGCTCAGTGAGAAGTGGCCAGTACATCCAAATTCAGCCCTGATACATGCTTCATTAGAGCTCCTTTACCACATTTATGTGCACTTACAATTATTTCAGACTTCAGTGAAAACTATGTTTGACCTGTTTTAACAGAAAAACAAGTGAGTGAGGATCTGACTGATGCAAAGTGAGAAATCATTAGCAAATACTCTACCTGCATTTTTCTATCAGCAACTTTCATAAGGGATTCAATCGGGTGTGAGTGGTCTTTTGTTCACTAGAGAGATCGCTGCGTTTCTAAGCTTCTAAAGACTATCTGACTTTCTTTTAGGGGAACTGACTTTAGAAGAGTTTATCAATGGTGTGGAAAAAGACGAGGACCTAATGGAATTAATTACGAAAAGTTTTGACCTTTCCAACGTACTCAAAGTCATACAGAACGGCAGGAGAAACAGCGTCTGAAGGATCCAGTCATGGATGTGGTCTCTGTCTCATAATTTCAAGGAAGATGATATTCATTGTATTCAGAGAGGCTGATGTTGTCAAAGCCTGCCCAGGCAATACTGAGCAGCCTTCTCCAGGAGCAACAATTTTCAGTCTTTCTATATCTCATTTTATTTTCTTTATTCTTTCCCTTGCTAATGACTGTGGCAGCCACAGGAAAAAAAAAAAAACTGAAAAAACCCCAACAACTTATGCCTGCATAAAATAGAAAAGATACTTGATGCTGTAAAAGTCTCTGTGATCTAGATCTCTATGAACATGTTGTGGTCAAAACCTGGCTGGCTAGCTGCTCACTCACTCCACTCTAGTGGGATGGGAAAGAGAATTGGAAGAGCAAAAGTGAGATAACTTGTGGGCTGAGATAAAGACAGTTTAAAATGGAAAGAAAATGCGAGCAGGCAAAGCAAAGCAAGGAATTCATTCAGCATTTCCCACAGGCAGGAAGATGTTCAAACATCTCCATGGAAAGCACGGATCCATCAAGCATAAGGGTGACTTGAGAAGACAAATGCTGTCACTTTGAACATCCTCTCCCTTCCTTCTTCTCACCCAGCTTTACATGCAGAACATGACTCCACACAGTGTGGGACATCCCTGTGGCCGTTTGGGGATGGGCTGTCCTGGCTGTGTCCCCTCGCAGCTCCTTGGCACCCCCAGCCCACTCAGTGCTGGGTGGGGTGAGAGGCAGAAAAGGACTTGTCACTGTGCAAGTGCTTCTCAGCAGTAATGAAAACATCTTTGTGTTATCAATATAGTTTTGGTCACAAATCCAAAACACAGTCTCATACCAGGTACTATGAAGAAAATTACCACTATCCGAACTGAAAACAGCACAATCTCTTCTGTTCAGACTAATAGATAAAATAATGGAAATTATGTAAACTGCAACTTTTCTAAAAGATACAAAGTTAATAATTTTTTTCTTTTAATAATGTGTTCTTTAACCTACTATCTAAAGTGTGGGCACAAACTTTTAGGTAGGACTGTGTTCTATCCAGATTAATTAAGAACAAAGCCTGCTTTGTATTAACCTAACATTTGCTCTAATCAGTACTCAAAATTGGATTAAGTTCTCTGGGAAACACTTCAGCTAGCTCAATATTCCCAAGATGTGTATCCTCCTTAACTCTCTACTACTCTTGATTTTATTACATGTGTTAATTAAAATAATGTGGTATTTTGATGTCTTTTCCAGGGCTCAGCCACTGTTCTTTTAAATTAAGCTTTTATTAAAATGTTGGAATTAAATTTTGTTGTCTTTGTAAAGCAAAATTAGAAGTTCAGAGAGTAGCAAAACTCAAATCATTTTGCAAGCGCTGCCAGAGATTTGTGTCTTTTGATTTTATGTCCTCCCTTTGCAAAAAAATTGTTTTTACTGGGCTCTTTGCCAGGGCTGTATGAAACAAAAGGTAAGAGATATAGGGTCACTCGTACTTCTGCAAAACAGACTGCCTTTCCCTGACTAATTTAGGTGTCTTTGCCCTTCCAATTACCTCAGTGAAAGCTTTTAGCAATGGAGTCTTTCTGAGATTTCTACCTCCTGTCAAACTGGCTTGCAATTGTCTCTGAAGGTGGTAGCCAGGACTGCAGGGAAGGCATCTGCAGGTGGCATGATCACATATTCTTCAGTTTTTTTAGGAAAGCAGGCTCAAAGCACAACCTTACTTTGTAAATAACAAGACTAATTCTATGAACTGTAATGGAATGGCATGAAATGTGTGCAAAGGGAAAACTATAGCTCTTTCTGGTTCTATCTGGTTCTCAAGTCTGTAACAAGTTTTATCAAATTACTATATTATATCATAGGACTAAGTTTTCCTTGAGTGACAATGCCTTGCAAGAATTACACTAATATTAATTACTGTTAAAAACATCAGAATTAAGCAAAATAATTTGTGGAAGGATTGGTGCAAGTTGAACAAAACAGTTATTAAGACTTCAATATGAACGAGTTTTTCTTCAAAATTCACTCCAAATCCATGTCCAGTTGCACATGAAATGTACTACTCCATCATCTACAGTTATTATCCCAGGTTCTGGTTGATCAATGGAATATAGAAAGAATATGCAACATGAATCACTTGACATTACAAACAATTCTGACATTATAGATCTGACATTTGAATCTTTTACATCCTTAATAAAAAAAATATATGTATGAGATTGCTGGTGTTTTGAATTTTATGTTTTTGTATTTATTCATCTTTGACACACACATGTGTCACTGTCAGCTTTCTCACATCCAGACTTCAGAAAATCACTGCTCTTAGTCTGACGCTTTTGTATTTAAAACCTATGAGGGTCTTTCAGAATTGACTTTACAATATTTAAAATAAAATGGTACGATCTAAGCAGCTTGGGCGTATGGAATCAGCTGTATTTGGGATTTTTTTGTTTTAAACTAATGAAGTGATAGACTTGCCAAAATAGCTACTGTGAAAAATGCTAATCCCTTGGTTTTAAAATTTTAAAACTTTGATAGTAATAAAATGGTTATAAAAATAGTAATACAATTAGAGTAATAATAATTTGGACAATTTGAATTAGGACAATATGAGACAATAAAAACAAAGAGTTACAGATGTCTGGTACCTTTTTCTGGGCAGCACAAGCGCAAAAAAGGACACCCATTAACAAAGGATTAACCCTTAAAAACAATAGTCTGTTGCGTATTCATACATCTCATACATGATGCATAAATTCCATTCAAATACAGGATTCTGTCTGGTCATCGTCAGCTTCTTCCGCATAAGCCTAACAGCGTCATCCTGGCTGTGTGAGGCGGGAAAAAGTTCATTTCTCCTGATAATGGAGGAATAAATTCTCTTTTTCTGAAAGATTTAGGTGCCCTGTGACTGCTGTCTCAGCACAAGTCCTTTCTTCAGAAAAAAAGTATCCTACATAGTATAGTTTCTATTTTAACATTTTGTTATAACCTAAAACTATATTTACCACACTACTTAAGAGAATTAATACAGGATTACTTTCTAATACAACACATAATATTCATTTTAATATTTGCAAAAAGCCAATCATAAAATATGCATTTTTCACACTACTATCTATATACACTGACTCTTTTTTTTATAAGTGGATTTTTTAAAGAGTATTTCCAGTTAAATTTGCCTAATTTTTCTGCATAATTGTAATTATATGAAGTGAATTACCAATTCTGGAAGAGTTCTGTTTGCATTATAAAACAATGTATGTAAGGAAATTCTTGGTCATATTTTTCTAGATTAAATTAGGAAGGTGTAGCTGAAATGCTCATTTCCTACACTAATTTGAAAGTATTTAGCAGAAACCTGTGTAATTAAGATGCAAGTATAGGTGTATTTTAATGTAAACACTGTGCCACCTCATTTCAAAAATTATCTGTCTACATTAACTCCACATGTTGGCAACTATACATAAGATTCTACACGATATTTTTTTCTAAGTTGATTAACATACATTTCTTTGGACAAGTTAAACACAATTCGATCTCAAGCAGCTGTTTGAGATAAATGCATTATGGCCATAACTTCTATCTAAACTTGTCAACTGCCCATCAAGTGTATCAGTAAAATCAGGTAACACATGGAAAACCTGTCAAGTGTGACCCCTCCTCCCGAAATATTGTCCTGAAACAACATGAAGCTGCAGCTCATCATTTTGGAGGCAATTTGTAGTCACAAAGGTATACTGCAAATTGACCTGACCATCAGAATGCTTGATTGAATTGCTGGTTGAATGGTCAGCAGAAAAGGAAAAAGAAAGCCCAGTGTTAGTGCATGTTATATACACACCTTAGCAAACACTTCTGTGGTTCAGGGCATTGCTGACCTGATGATTCTGAGGCCCGCAAGGTGCTTTTGCTTAGAAGCCCTGCATGAGAGAAAAGGTTCTTCACCCAGAGGGTGATTGGTCACTGGAACAGGCTCCCCAGGGCAGTGGTCACAGCCCCAAGGCTGCTAGGGCTCAAGCAGCACTTGGACAATGCTCTCAGGCACAGGGTGTGACTCCTGGAGGTGGTGCTGGGCAGGGCCAGCAGCTGGACTTCATACTTGGATGGATGAAAAGTGACATCTCCTGCTTAGGCCCGCACTGATTTTTGTCTTACAGCAGCCCTTTGACAGAAGAGTCAGCCATTAAAGGTAACTTAATTACTCTAAAGGTGTTGCTGTATCACTGCTTAATTTTTATTTCCACCTCCTCTGCAGTAGAATCATAGAAGTGTTTGGGTTGAAAGGAACATTAAAGATCACCTAGTTCCAAATCCCCTGCCATGGGCAGGGAACTTTCCACTGGACCAGTTTACTCAGAGCCTCATCCAGCCTGATCTTGGACACCTCCAAGGACAGGTAGTCCACAACCTGCAAGACAATTCAAGACACCTTGCTAGGCAGTTTTTACTGTGCTTAAAAGCAACACTGTATTGAAACAATAACTTTTGAGTTCCAAAGAACCATCTGGCTCCAGTTTGAAATTAAGGCCTGAATTTTTTGTCACCTTTCAAACTGCACTGTTTACAGAAACTCATGTCCTGTGCAGAATACTGGAGACGCTGGGAGGGAGGACTGGGTAGAACTGACATGGTAGGACATGACATAGAACAACCAAAAATCATAAAGGAAAAGAAAGGTGAAGAAACCTTAAAAGGAAAAGGAGGTAGCAAAGATCAGGCCTCACCTAAGGATTATCATGATGTGACAACCTCTGTCCCTAAGGACATACTCTAAAGGTAAGTCTAAATGTCAGAGTAGGGAAAAGAGGAAAAGGAAGAAGAGACTGAGTCTATGGAAGGGCACATTCATGTTCTGTACCTCAGACAATACCTGACAACAAGTGCATAACAAAAAGCAAAATATATGGTACTTAATCTGAGGGGTCTGTCTGAAATTTGGCTTTCCTTGCTGCCCTAATAGAACCAAAATCTTTTCCAACAATGCACTGAAGGTAAAGCTCAAAAGAGATGAGACATGTTAGCCTGTCATCTCTTTATCATCTCCTGTGCAAAGGTACAAACATAAATAGTCTTCTGAAATTTTCTAGCATTCAGAAAAAAATCAGATTAGCACTGTTACAAACAGAGAATCTGAAATAGTGATAATCTGCCCAGCAGTTTATTCCGCACTGGTACTGCACCTGATTTCTCCAGTACCAAGGGAACTGACCACTCAAGATGTCTTCTGTTTATTCACTGAGAATGTTCAGCAGCTCAATAAAATAAAGGCACTTTCATTGTTTCACTCTAGACTACTTTCATTAGCTGTGCAAGTTAGCAAGGTAGCAACTGATGTGTTGGCATGGAGAGTTTTCCATGGTGTGGAAAACTGCTATTTATTTAGGAAACACAGTAAATTCTTCCTCACAAGTTCCTTCTGAATGGCATTTGGTAGCTGAGTGTAAGCAACTGACATAAAGAAAAATGGTAGTATTTTAGATCTCCTATCCCATGAACCATCTAGTCACTTGCATATACATAGCTATTACAAATGTCTTAAATTTCACCTTTCCTGGAAAACTCAAAGTACACTCAGAATGATAAATGAATATGAAATTGTAGTCCATTTGTGGTCCCATATAAGTCAATGATGCCATTGATTTGCCATTGCAAACCAGAACAGAATTTTTTCACTAACATCTAAATATATCAAATCCTTGATTTATTCAGACTCTTATTAACCTTTTGTGTAGCACTCATTAAACTTTTATTAACCTTTTATGTATTTCAGTGGGTTACTGGTGAAGGATGTAGGGAAGGAATGAAAGAAGTATTTTGAAAACATTTTTTAAAACAGGTGATGTATTAAAATCATTATAATTTTCCTTTTAAAGGCCAATGACATATGAAAAGGGATGACACAGTTTTGAGGGTATCCAGAGAGACTAAACTCCCATCAGGCTTCAGGGACAGCTTTTCTTTCTTACCATCCATTTATATGCCCCTTCCATCTTTGTTCCTAAAGCAATAAAAAGTATGTGGGTTGTTTTCTTTTTTTGTTTTACACTTGCAGCATACCCCCAGCACTTAGCTTTACAGGTCCTGGACAATATTGGAAGAGTTTGCACCTTTTCTTCTATTTTTTATTTAAATTGCAAATATTTGACAAATTGCTTCTATCATGGAAGATTTCAAACCCCTCCAATTTAAAATACAGATTACTATTAAAAAGCTGCTAACAAAAGGAATAGTTGAACATTGCAACTAAATATGTTTTTATTGTTCTTATTGTACTAAGGGTGCTCATATCAAAAGAGAAACTTTTTTTCCCTTGTCCTCATTTATTTTCTAATTAGGTCAGTCTTCCCTTTCATATGCTGTTCACCGGCTCAGTCTCTAATGTCCATGTCAGTTAGCAATCAGATTCTAGAGAAAAATATAATAATTCAGTCATTTTCTAAGTCATGAAAAATACACAAAAATACATAAAAAATCCAACATGATTTTTAACAATCAGTCCATTTTTTTCATTATTTAAGATGGTGAGATTGCCAAGTACACAAATTAGGAACCGCTTTTTCTTAGATCATCAGTGGAAAGAGGAAGTTCTTGTAGTGGTAGGTCAGCACATGAGACCCACCATCTTAAGAAGCTTAATTATAAAGAAAAGACAAGCAAAATAAATGCAGTCTTGCTCCCCAAAAAGGGTAGCTCCCAGAAACATGTTCTGTCTGCCAGGGTTAGTAAATGCCTCTGGAGAACACAATTATAAATCTTAATTT